GTATAGACCAGCTAATGTATTTTTACATCTTACTGTGAAATAGTACTATGTGGAGACACCACACCACTGGTGGCTGTCAGTCTATTTTGTGCAGGTTTTACAATTTAAAATAACAACAAAATAACCTTTTCCTATAAAAGTCTTTATGTTAAAGAATTTCTTTCAAACGAATCATTGTTTCTCACGATTTATCATTTGTGCCATCAAATTACAACAGCCAGAACATTCCTCTTCTACACCAGTGAGTTGGTCAATGATTTAGCCCTTTCATCCACCAGATGTTGCTAATGTGCTGCTGTGTAAGTGACAAACTAAATATAATGAAAGAAAAAAGAAAAACTAGCGAACAGGGAGCTGGGTGAACCATGGCAAAGGTAAAAATGTAGACCTGTAGTCTTTGCATTATAATATAGTCAACAAGTCAATCTCTTTTCGCTCTGTGAGTGATAATTGAACAACGTGATGACAAGATAATTTCCACAGAACAATGTCCAAGTCAAAATCTTGCACATTTGTACCAGTCAAAGTTCACTTTATGCAATAACTCGTCCCTGGAGATGTGACACACACCCTGAAGAGATTTACTTCAACATTGCATTATGTGCCAGTCACTTCTTAGTGGTTAAACAATTTAGTGAAAGATTAGTATTAACAAAATGCGTGAAGGTTTAACAGCCGCGCTGGAGGAGTGGAAATGTCTGGAAGACGAATATCAACAACTTCAGGTAAGACACGGACCAAAATCAGCTGACAGAATCAGATGTTTCACATACAGCAGTTGTATAAGTCTTAACATACTGTTTGCTTTCTGTTACTCAAACCGCATGATGATATGTTTTTAATATCTATCTCTCTTAATCTCTTGTAAAACCATATATCAATCATGCTTGAGTTCATGTAAAATGGCTGTGTTCCAGATTGTAATGTTTTATATTCCAAAAAGGTTTAAATGTTTCCTGTAATCTACATTTGTGTTCTTCTCATCCAGGAGACACACAGAATGTACTTACAGAAACTGGATGAAATTACAAAACTACAAAACAGCTGCTCTTCCTCCATTTCCAGTCACCGCAAACGACTGCAAGAGGTATCCCTTCTGGTGAATAAGTAAGTTTACACACACACACACACACAGATTTAAAGTAACACACACTGATAGTTCATCCAGTCATACACACACATACATGCACACAGACCCAAAGGAGTGAAAGAAAGACTTGCTGATAGACAAAGTGGACCCATCTCAGCTCAACAAACATCTCATGATACAGACCTATCTCATGCACTTATATCATTCATCAGATGCAGCACAGGACCCGCAGAAGATGCTAAAACCGTGGATGAAATCAAAGAGAAAATAAAGACGCGACCAAATGCTTTCTTTGAAATGGAGTCTTACCTTCCCAAGAAGAATGGGTAATGACTATTATTTAATCAAAAGCCCCAACATACAAGTTGAAAATGCATAAAGATTGAACAATTACATACATTACGATTATGATTGTTTCATATTTCAGGTTGTACCTCAGTCTGGTTCTTGGAAATGTGAATGTGACTCTTCTCAGCAAGCAGTCAAAGTAAGTAACAACTATCAAAGCTAAGCCAAACATTTCCCCACTTTTTATTTGCGTGGTAACATTTGTCTGGTTAAACAACATTTTTCAGTCAGTTACTCTTCTAGGTGTCACTCAGTGAGCTAATTTATCACAGAATCCAGATTCAATCACTGATGCTCCAATAATCAAAGAAGGACTTTAATTTGAGACCTGAATTTGTTGCATCCTTGTCAGATTTGCCTACAAAGATGAATACGAGAAGTTCAAGCTGTGTCTCACAGTCCTCCTGCTGCTGTTCTCCTTTATATGCTATTTCTTTGTGAGCTACAGGTAAACATCAACGTATCACACATCAACACTGAGTTTATTACATGGACACTGCATGTACTGTATGTCTAAATCCAGCACTTGTCTTATGTCCCGGACTTTAGATTTCTTGATGCAATCCTCAATTTCCTGCTGGTGTGGTACTATTGTACATTAACTATCAGGGAAAGTGTCCTCATCACCAACGGCTCCAGGTCAGTCCTGCACACTGCCTTCATCCTACTAAAAGAATGCAACTACTATATGTTTTATGAATCAACTAATCATTATGGTAGTTAATCATCTTTAGAAAATATATGTCATGAACTTTTAGAAACTTAAGTGTAAAAACATACAATATAAATATTTAATGAAATGTGTCCTGCACCATAGAATCAAAGGCTGGTGGGTTTTTCATCATTACGTCTCAGCTTTTCTGTCCGGTGTGATGCTGACATGGTGAGTAGAGGAAGATAAAAACCCAACAGATTAACAACAATTGACAATGAAACTTTATTTTAACACATTCAACTCAGGAAATGTCATTAATACGATGCTTGCTGATTGGTTCATACCTGTTTTTGTTCAAATACATCTGTTAAATTACCGTTTACAGTCTGTGTCATAACAAATTTCCTTCCTTTCACCCTGAAGGCCAGATGGGATCCTGTACAAAACATTCAGGAACCAGTTCCTTGCCTACTCCTTGTATCAAAGTAAGGTCAAAGTACTTGAAATACATTCATAGTTTTAACTTTACTGAATGAAACCAAAGCCTGATCAGTGCTTCTTTCATCTTAAACACACAGGTTTTGTTCAGTGTCTGCAGTGCTATTATCAGAGTGGGTGCCTGTACAGACTACGAGCTCTGGGAGAAAGACACAACATGGATCTGACCGTGGGTAAGGTACACCAGCCAAGGACACATAATACAGACACACTCACACAGCTATATCATTATTAAATATTTAGTAAAAACCAACAATGCTCCATCAAGCATGTCCGGGGCTCCAAGTTGTCACTGCTAATAAACAAATGTGTGCGGAGTTTAAAAAGTGATTCTTCTCTGCTTCCTGTTTTTAGAGGGATTTCAGTCATGGATGTGGAAAGGGCTGACGTTCCTTTTGCCCTTCCTCTTTTTTGGTCATGTGAGTACAGTCTGTGATGCTGAGATGATTTGTAATTTGTACTTTGAGAAATTTCCTCTAACTACTGCTTAGTTTTCATCAAATATGCTTTGTCATGGTTTAGTCTGGATGACACAGGAAAGGTGATTAAAAAAAAACCTGATGTCATTCTAGACTTATCCTTCGTGTGCCTGATTTGAGACAATCTTTAGGTTTTGATCTGGATAACAGCCTTAACCTTTAACGTTGCATTTATCCCCCCTTAACGATATAAACCCTTAAGTCCTCATGTGTTGTCTTGTAGTTCTGGCAGCTCTTCAATAGCCTGTCTCTCTTCAGAATGGCTCAGCTCCCAGACTGTAAAGAATGGCAGGTCAGTGCTTCAATGGTCATACAGTTTAACTGTTTCCCCCTGTTCTTTCTTTCATAGCTGTTAAATATTTACTTTATTTATTTATCTTTCATCTAGTCAGAAGTAGAGCTTCTTATTTGCTCAAACTGTCTGTTTACATCGCCAGAGGGTTGATTAAACAGTGTCTTCACATTTTCTCAGATAAATTCCTGACAGCCCATCAGTGTTACGTTACAATGAGTTTTTGTATCAGTTTTTTTGTTGTTGTTGGTGTATAAATACAGTTTATTCGTGAAATCAGCCTCATGAATTTCCATTTGTATGTTTGAAAGCAACTCGACATTAATACTTAATCCCCACCCATATATCGAGAAAATGCTTACAAATTCAGGCTTTTATGCTTACTCACATATTGTTCTTTATGTTGCATGTGATGCCAGGTCTTGATGTGTGGTCTCTGCTTCCTTATTCTGTTCATGGGAAACTTCCTCACCACTGTTGCCGTCGTCCGTCAGAAGGTCAAGAGCAGGAACCAGAAACCAAAGAGCCTGTGATACATCCTAATAAACCAAAAATCAACATGTCCAAAATGTACAGTAGATACATAAATATAAAGAATGTTTTATAATCAACCAGTCACCATTAAAAGTTGAATTGTGTTCCAAAATGCCTCCAAATACCTTTGTATATATTTTACTTTCATAGTAAGAGCAATGAACAATGAATAAAAGCACCCTCAAATAAAATAAATCATCTGTAAATGTTGTTGCATTTTTACATATTTTGTGCTTGTGCATACACGTCTCTTAATTGTGTTTGATTGCAGCCATTTATTCCTTTTTTGGCCTTTTATCTGGTTAGGCGTGAGTTTCCCTGTTCTTAAAATGAAGTTAGAAACAGTGTATATAATTGAGTACATTCACTGATGTATTTAAGTACAACTTTAAAGTACTCGACTTGAGTATTACTATTTTCTGTTACTTTACACTTCTACTTCATTACATTACAGAGGGAAATAACATATGTCTGAAAGCAATAGTTAGTTTGCTGATTTAGATTTTATGTAAAAGAGATGATGAGTCTATAAAATATGATTCATTGTTATAGATATTATATATTATGCTATAAAAATACCTGTATTCAAATGTTTACTTTAAATTACAGGAGTATTAGCAACAAAATGCACTTAAACTAGCAATAGTAACTGAATTCATTATGCAGAACAGCCATGTCAGTGTTATATTACTGTATATTTTTACATAATTATTATTTAGGTATTCATGTATTCATATTTTAATATTGTAATTTCAAGGTGGATTTAATGTTAATAAATCTAATGTACAACTCTGAAATGAAATAAACTACAAGTATAAAGTATAAGATAGACAGACAAATACATTAGTAGAGTACTTTATTATCCCTAATTGGATATTGCAGAAAAACAAACTAAAAGCAGCATGTGGAAAAACAAAGAGGTAACTAAGAAGATAGAAATGTTAAATATAAATAACTAAAATTAAAAGCAATACAAAGACAACTAAAAACTAAGACAATACTTAATTTAGAATGCAATAGATTATAAGGAAGATTATTCTGTACAGGGTTAGGACAACATATGGCAAAGTGCTTCATTTGAATTTCATAGATGAGTATTATGAGTATAACTACAGTGACTTTATACATACATACACAGTATACACACAGTTGCAAGTTACATCACTTGAGTACTAATTTACTTTCAGTGCTGACAGGGTTCACTCTGCTCCAAAATGAGAACTTACTTTTGACAGTACAAATACATTTTGGTGTCAGTAGTTCTGAACTTCTGCTTAAGTAAGACGTTGAATGGATTGCAGCAGAGTATTGCTCTAATGTGGCATTGCTACTTTTACTCAGGTAAAGAATCTGATTGGTGTTAATACTTAATAATAATTTCTGCTTAAGTATTACTTTTAACTTCTTTACTCGGGTAAAGAATCTGAATACTTCCACCACTGCACATAACAGCTGAGCACTGCAGGCAGAAAACCTCGGGGCTATCTACCATGCACAGTGTGTCCTTGGTACTGTGAACATGGACACCCTTTGAATTGAAGGGGACAGATATGTTTGATTATTGTACCTCTCAGTCTGTCAAGGATACACGGTCTGTTCAACCGGTTACATTACATAACCATGACCCTTGGCCTGCTGCACGTCTGCAGTTATTTATTATAGCGGGTACATATGCTCAGTCACATTAGGTAATGTATTTGTAGTCGGGTCCAAATTGAGACACCTGTCCGCCGAAATTATAAATAAATATGCTTATTTTTTAACTCTGTTGGAGCAGAAGTGCTTTAAAAAAAAGCACACATCTGTAACAACAGAAAAAAATTAAAATATCCCGAGTTTAGATTCATTTGGAGTTAGAAATACAAGAGTCCCTCCCCCCCACGGTCAGGATCGAGTTGGTTTGATCCTACATGGCGTAAAGTTTCCTTCCGCGTTGAGGACAGTGTGAGCCTGACACAAAGAGGGGAGGCGAAGGTAAGCACCAGATTCACATCTCTGAAGGGTTTTACATCGAGCTGTAGTCTGTGGCAGTCTGTGGGAATTACACGTCAGCGTTAATAGACTCAAACTGAACCTGGAAACTGTAAATACAGAGGAAATATTAAGGTATTTCAGTAAAAAACAACATTAGCTTAAGAGAAGTGCTGACTCCAGTGTTACGCAAACTTGTGTCTCTCTGGAGAAAGTCCTTTTTAATTGGTGTGTGTAGGTTAAGACACATTAACGCTCTTAAGCTTTGCAGGTATCATACTGTGGCCTACATTGTTTAGTCTCTGAATTAACCTGTACTTCTGACAGTATCATGCTTTCAGCCAGTGTTGTAACACGTCCAGGGAATAGTCGGGGCCCTAAGTCCTCTCCCGATGGGCTATCGCTCATCTTCCTCCTTATATCTGACCGCCAGAGGTATTTTCTGAATAGAAAACATCTCATTAGCTGTGACTTAACTCCATTAAAACAGATAAAACCGGTGTCTGCCTTACATGTAATCCACCAACTCTGTTACACAACTATTTGCTTTAAGAGGAGGGGAATTGTCAGGATGAACTCCAGTAAACCTCGTCCATGTCTGATTCATTGATCATTTACACCCCCAGTGCTAACTGATATTAAAGCTTATTTCTCTTGGCTTAATTGGCAACTAACCAAAGTCTCACATGGTGTTGGATACTCCTACTCTTCACACAGTGGCTCTGTGTCAGAGGGGGTTGAGAGAGGTGACCAGACCGGTAAGACTTTAATTAGTATTTGAGGTGAACTTGCTCTAAGGTAAGGTGTTAACTCTCATTAATCACAGTTGAATAATGATGAGATTAAAAGCTGCCTGTGCTGCTGTGTGTGTAGGTGTGTGTGTTACTACCTGTGGTACTTGTTGGACACAGGAGGTGTTGGTGTTTTCAGGTTGGGGCTGCTAATTGCTGCGGCTGGGAGATCTCTAAGTAAAGTAGTCGCATGGATACTGTATCACAACAGACAGGACGCACTGATACTGTACAAGTGATGGAGGTTGTCAGCAGTTTATGAGGTACATCTAGCTAAAACTAACATGATAATATATATATATACTGGGGTGGACAAAATCTACATTCATTTCAACTGCATTACAGATTGTTAAGGTATCACATAACTGCAGCTATGGATGGGTATTGGGTAAATGGGTAAATTGTTTTCTGAGTTTTTGCATTCAGCTGCATTAGATTAATATCAGTGTAAAACTTCTGTTGCTGCGTTTAAGAAGGACTTTGTTATAGCAGCTAATAGTGCTCCCACATCTGATGGATTGGCCAGGCAGGTATATTGGCTAATATGAGCTTATCATCTTATCTGAGATTTCTGCTTTTAAAACCCACAATAAATGTCTTTACGGAAATGCAGACCAATTTAGAAACAACGTTGGTGTTACGTAGTTTGTCAACCAGAGAGCACTGACACGGTTTCCTCTCAGTATATATCGTAGTCACAGTTATTTGATAATTAAATGAATGTGGTCCTTATTAGAAGAAGAATATTGTCATCAGACTTTAAAAACTCTCAAATATCTATCAGTGTCTGTCTTCCCGCATTGATCAGGTTATAGATTTGGTTAAAGACACTAGTGAGTACTATTTTAGTAGACCAATTAAACATATTAACAAAGCTACTGTGTTTTAAAAGCTCAAAACTTTAGTGAATTTTAGTGTTTGACTTGGTTTGAAATGCTTGCTGTCTATTGAATAAGAGACGGACACACACTTGTATTCAATATATAGAAAATATCATTAAAATCACGGGAAGTGTTTTTGACCGTGTTGGGTTTTCACCTGAGCACAGTATTACACGCCCTGAGGTCACTGTGACTCGACATGGCACACATGTATCTCTGTACGTAGTAACTGAAGTGTTTGCTTAATGTATCGGTGAGTCAGCAGTCTAGTAGTGAGCAAGCAAGTTTTTTTCTTCTAGTAAGTGTGTGTATATGGCTTTGTCAGTTTAACTGTTGTGTAGCTGTGGGCTAGCCAGTTTAATGGATCACAACCCGATCTCATTGTTTTCACTCTTTGAACCAAATTGAAACCTGAGCGCTCAGAACATGAAGTCCTTTCGTGCTCAGTGTGAAAAGATCTGCTGTCGTTGATGCATGACAAATTCCTGATGTATGGGAAGCACTGGGTGACAGTGTTATAGTATGTAGAGCCAATTATCCATAATTCTTGCACAGAAGCCATCGTTGTATGGTATGGCATGTGGAGTACTGCTCATACACACACACACACACACACATATATGCAGTCACATTGTTCTGTGCAGCACTTTAACCAGTTTTCTCTAACGGTTATAGAGAGTTATGAGATACGAATACCTTTAGCATGCATACAACTTGTACAACTATAGTTATAAAAGATAATGGTATTTTTTTCATTCTACATAATGAATACAGTTTAATACCTTTTATTTAATTAACTCACTTAACCATGGAAGTTCCCTTAACTTATATCTGAATAAAAACACTGAACTCACCCTATGTGATTGGCCACAATCAGTATCCATTATTCTCTTAATCACTGGTTGAGTTACTCTTTTTCTGTTTACTTATAATGGTTTGATTAATGAACGCATCACTGCAAACTGCAGTGAAAATGCAAACCTGTTTCTGATTGTTATACGTTTAAAAAAAATCTATAACGTGAAGGGAGAAGATAAAACAAACTTTATTTAAATATTTGCAAGCTCAAACAACAACAAGTATTTACATTAAGGCTAATCTATAGGAACAGTGAACACCCTAATCCAGAGATCCGGAGAAAAAGAGTGAGAGAGGAGGTCAAAGTAACTATAAACAAACTATAGGAACGCACTAATCCAGAGATCTGCAGTGAGAGAGAAGGTCAAACAAATTATTTACATATTTACAAGCTATAGGAACACCCTAATCCAGACCTCCGGACAGAAAGGATGAGAGGCGGTTAAACGTGCACACCACACTTACTGCGCATGACACAAGAGGAGAGGAAGAGACCCGGTGCTGTTGGGAGAATAGCTCTGAGCAGCATTGCATTGTAATGATACACTGCCCGTCCAAAAAAAAAAAAAAGTCGCACACTCTAATGTTTAGTTGGACCGCCTTTAGCTTTGAGTACGACACGCATTCGCTGGGGCAAATTTTTCCGATAAGCTTCTGCAATATCACAACATTATCTGTCCAGAGTTGCATTCATTTTCCGCCAAG